AGGTACCATTATTATCCCCATTTTCAAGATGAAGGCCCTGAGGCACAGAAAAGTTTAAGTATCCTGCCCAAGGTGAGAATTAGTGATATAGGTGGGATCTGAACTCAAGTAGCCTGGCTCCAGAGGCCAACACTAACTCTCATGTTATACTGCTATCACACGGTAGCAAAAGAACTTAGAGCCATTACATGACTAGCTAAATGGTTCTTTTTTCTTTGTGTCTACAAAGAAATACATGAAGTAGCATTCAGGAAAAAAGTCTTCTTTTGTACCTAAGCATGGGTGCCTTAATTCTACCCAGTAGAAGTTAGGTAAGGTAGCTTTTATCTAGGCAAAGGAGCCTGTGTGTGAGATTTAGGCTGCCTAAAAGCAAGGACTCCCTCTAGTGAGAGACAAGAAGTAACACTGACAAACACCCACTAGGCTCTATCACTTTGTTTTGTTATGTTTGGGACAGAATCTCTTTCTGTCGCCAGGCTGGAGTGCGTGGCATGATCTCAGCTCACTGCAACCTCCGCCTCCCAGGTTCAAGCGATTCTCCTGCCTCAGTCTGCCACATAGCTGGGATTACAGGCGCCTGCCAACACACCTGGCTAATTTTTTGTATTTTTAGTAGAGAAGGGGTTTCACCATGTTAGCCAGGATGGTCTCGATCTCCTGACCTTGTGATCTGCCTGCCTCGGCCTCCCAAAGTGCTGGGATTACAGGCGTGAGCCTCCGTACCCAGACTTTTTTTTCTTTTGAGACAGGGTCGCACATCGTTGCCCAGGCTGGAGTGCAGTGGTGTGATCATGGCTCACTGCAGCTTCCACCCACTTCCCCAGGCTCAGATGATCCTCCTGACTCAGCCTCCCAAGTAGCTGGGACCACAGGTGCCATGCCACTGCACCCAGCTAATTTTCTATAGACATAGAGTTTTGCCATGTTGCCCAGGCTAGTCTCCAACTACTGGGCTCAAAGATCTGCCTGCCTCAGCCTCCCAAAGTGCTGGGATTACAGGCGTGAGCCACCAGGCCTGGCCTCTCCTATCAATTCTTTTCACCTAGGCTCAGGTGGCCACTGAGATTTGGTCTGTCCCCCATCTTTGTCTCCACCTGAGCCAAGTAGAACACCCAAAAGTGCGGAAGATATCTTGCCTCCTGCTTCCAATGTCAGCCATTTGGCTGTTACCTGTTTTCAGTGGCAAACAAACTGTAAAACAAACGTACAGTTTTCACTGGTAAAGGGGGAGATCCCTGAAAGAGAAAAGAGATTCACTGCTATGAAGGGCTGTCTAGTCAGGAACAGCATTTCTTAGAAGGAGCACTGGGTGAATCAGGTCACTCCAGAGACACTCCAGTATCCATGGCCTCTGGTCACGGCAGGAGATCGGGAATATCTTCAGAGACTCTTTTTAAGATGGGGTCTCACTCTGTCGCCCAGGCTGGAGTGCAGTGGCATGATCTTGGCTCACTGCAACCTCTACTTCCCAGGTTCAAGTGATTCTCCTGCCTCAGCCTCCTGAGTAGCTGGGATTACAGGGGTGCACCACCATGCCCGGCTAACTTTTGTAATTTTAGTAGAGATGGGGTTTCACCATATTGGTCAGGCTGGTCTCCGACTCCTGACCTCTTGATTCACCAGCCTCGGTCTCCCAAAGTGCAGGGATTACAGGCGTGAGCCACCACGCCCAGACCTCTTCAGGGACTTTGAACTACTCTGCATGAATAAGGACGACTGAGGAAATGACTGCTCAGAAAACCAAAGCCACCCTGCTCTCCCCTTCTTTGTGCTTGTTCTATCTCCTCCTCTAACCCATGAGGTGCAGATGCAATGGCGTCTGATGGCTTCTTCCTCAAGGGAAAGCTGGACAGGCTGGAAGAGGAGAGAGAAGGGCGTGTCCCGACCTTGCTATTCCCACAGGGTCCACGTGAGCGGATCGCGGAGCAGTCCCCAGTTACTGGGGCTACCCCGACCATCCAGCAATAGAAATAAAACCTTGAAACTTCAGTTCTTTGCATCGCTGGGCCAAGACGTTCCTTGAGGATTCTGTGCACACACGGCTAGTTACAAGACGCCACGATCTTCAGAACATCTGAGGGGGCGTTGCAAATGCGGCTTCCACGAGCTGCCAGGCCGTGGCCTCCTAACCCGGCGGAGGCTCCTCGAAACGCTTATCAAGTTGTTTCACTGGACAGGTGCTGGGTAAAGGCTTGTTGAGAAAATAAAAAATAAATAAACGTGTTCGGCCCCGCCGCCGCAAGAATGATTGATTTGGAAAATACGTGTCGGTGTGGCCGCAACCGTCCCCCGGAGGTAACAGCCAGAAAAGGGGCTCAAGGAGCATCCCGCGGATACCAGACCAGGCTCATGTCGCGCCTGCCGCGCGGCTGGTGCGGGGCCGGGCCGAGGTCGCCTCCGCCGCTCCTCCTCGAGGTAGCTCACCGGCCGCCGCTCCCGGCCGGGGCCGCCCTCTCAGCTGTCGCTGAGGGCGCCGCTGTCCCGGAGCTTTAGTCGTTGACACAGGCCGTGGTAGCTACCTCCGGGCGGCCGCCCCGCGCGGTGACTGCGCCGGCGAAGGGGGCGAGCGCGCAAACCGGGGCGGGTCCCGCGGACTGTCACCCTCGGGAACCGCAGCCACGCCGACCGTTGGTAGAACTGGACTGCTAACGGCCGCGCGCCGGACCCGCCCCTCCTCTAGCGCCTCAGCGCCCAGCACCACCCGGCCCCGCCCCTTCCCCTCGCCCGCCCCTCCCCTCCGCTCGCGACTCTGGGCGCAGCACCGCCCGGCCCCTCCTTTTCCCGTCGCCCGCCCCGCCCCTCCTCTCCCACTACCTCCGCTCAGCACCGCCCGGCCCCGCCTTTTCCCCTTGCTCGCCCGCCCCTCCTCTCGCACCACCCGCGCCCAGCACCGCCTGGCCCCGCCCCTTCCCCTCTCGCTCGTCTCGCCCCGCCCCTCTACGCGTGCGCGTTTGCCTTCGAACGCGTGCCCTCTTATGCAGTCTGACCAGCGGAAGACTAGCCCAAAGGCGGGGCAAGGCCGTCGCGCCTTGGTGACGTTGTTCCGCCGGCGCGGGCGGGTGACGCGGCTGGGCCCGTTGTCTGTGTGTGGGGCTGAGGGGCCCCGGGGGCGGTGGGGGCTCCCGGTGGGGGCTACGGTGGGGCGGGAGGGCCTGGACATGGCGCTGAGGGGCCGCCCCGCGGGAAGATGAATAAGGGCTGGCTGGAGCTGGAGAGCGACCCGGGTGAGGAGGGGGCCGGGAGGGCCAGGGGCTGGGGAGGCCGGTTGGGCCTGGGACGCCCCTGCCTGACCATCACCCCCTCCTCTTGTCGCCCCACCCAGGCCTCTTCACCCTGCTGGTGGAAGATTTCGGTAAGAGCCTCTTCTGCCTGCCGGACCGGGGCTGTGGGAGCCCACCCCTGCTCCCTCGCTCGAGGACCAGGGGCTATCCTTCCCGACTGCTTTCCTTTCCTGATGCAGGTGTCAAAGGGGTGCAAGTGGAGGAGATCTACGACCTTCAGAGCAAATGCCAGGGGTGAGTGGCTGTATGCCAGGGCCGCCCCTTACACCGAGAATGCTGGGAAAGGTCCCAGAGAACAGGGCACTTTAGGGAAGGCAGTGCCAAGAACCCTACGTTATAAAATCTCACATAAAGAAGCAGCCCGCTCTCTGGGTGCCTTCCTCCTGATCAAACTGATTATTTCCTTTTCTCCCAGTCTTTCCTCAGCGCTCCCTTTTGTAGCAGCTTCCTCCGACCCCTAGCCATCCTTTGGTTCAGCTGCTTTTCTGGCCTGGCAACAGGAAGACCCAGGCCACACAGTGCCTTTTGTGCATTTGTGTAATGTATTAATTTCAGTGTGCCCATGTGTGCCTGGCTTTAATCCTGACACAAAGTCATCCTGTATTGATTGGTTGGGGTGACAAGGCCCCTCCTAGGTGCCCACACTTAGGGTCTTGTCTGGGTGATCCTGCAGAATAGAGGTGTAAGAGAGACTGCTACAGTGATTGGACCAAAAAGTCTGCTTTAATTTCCTATAACAGAAGAGACTGGTGTGGGTGTTCATTTGCTTTCCTGACTGCACCGGTGTCCCCAAGTGACAATTAGTGCCTCAGTTCCTCGTCAGAGTTTTTGTTCTTGTCTTTCTTTGTGTTCCTACCCTACCCCATTCTTGACCATTGGTTCCAGCTTTTCTTCTCTTACCCAGAACCACAGACTTCATAAGGAGACTGGGTGGACTCCTGAAGCATCACAGCCAGAAGCTTATGTTTTGCTCTGCCTGTGAAAGGCCTTTGGTGTGTGAGGGCACAGGGCCACTTCAGACAGTGTTGGGAAGAAGTCAGGGAGAGGTAGGATCACAGCAAGGACACCTGAGTGATGATACAGTGCAAAGGATTAGGGGGAGAAAAAAGGGAATGCTGATTGCCTTCTGCCCTTTGGCTGATTTAGCTCTGCTTCTTACTTCCCCCAGCCCTGTATATGGATTTATCTTCTTATTCAAATGGATCGAAGAGCGCCGGTCACGGCGAAAGGTCTCTACTTTGGTGGATGATACGTCTGTGATTGATGACGATATTGTGAATAACATGTTCTTTGCCCACCAGGTCTGCTGGGCCCTGTGCTTTGTTTGGAGGGTGGGATGCTGCCAGTTTTTTTTTTTTTGCTTGGGAAGTGGAAGTGGAGGAAGACAGAAGGAGGGGATAGGCAGATTCTAGGGATGGTGGCTACAGAAACCCTCTGGCAGAAGGAACTGAGCTCTAATTCATTAAAGGGAACAGCTCTAGAGGAGGGTGGTGGCTGAGTCCACTCTCTGTGTCCTCAGATACCTGGTGGTTATTTGGTAGGTGCTTGTTAAGTGAATAAACATTAGGCAAAGATGAAGGGAGCTGAGAAGGGGAGTTGTCCAGATATGACTGACCTGTTCTGGATCCCTGTTCCTGATGTATATGGGCTTGGGGCTTGCGGTGAGGGGTGCTGTGTATGGGTGACTATTCTTGTTTTCACAGCTGATACCCAACTCTTGTGCCACTCATGCCTTGCTGAGTGTGCTCCTGAACTGCAGCAACGTGGACCTGGGACCTACCCTGAGTCGCATGAAGGATTTCACCAAAGGCTTCAGCCCTGAGGTAGGTAGGCTGCAGCTCGTTCATCCTGGCTCATAGCCAACTGGGCAGATCTGACCCCGAGGGCCACTGGTAATGCTGCCACATGATATTGGCTACTATTAGGCTGTTTCTTTTTGAAATGATTGTTATTATGTTTGACCCTTTAATTGTGTAAGGTCATTGTTTTTAGGCCCAGTTGTGGGGAAAGGAGATAGGCCTAGGGAGGGAGGAGACTTTCCTTAAGTCACACCATGTCAGAACCTTCTGTCAGGACTTTTTCTCTCAGGCCATGTTGCTTTCCAGTGTCCACTAATTACCATGCAAGGCCAGCATAATCCATCTCTTTGGGGCTCTAGAGCTCTTTTCCTCCACCACCAGCCTTTTAGGAAAGTTCATCTGTGTTCCTTCCGATTCCTGGAATGCCTCCAGGCCTGCTCTGTGAAGCTTTGTCTTCAACCCATAGTCCTACCTGAGGAGAAATTATTCTGATATGGCCTATTTTCTTCCCCATAGAGCAAAGGATATGCGATTGGCAATGCCCCGGAGTTGGCCAAGGCACATAATAGCCATGCCAGGTGTGTGGGAGCTGTGGGAGCTGGTGTGGGGTGGGAGTGGGGGGAGTATCATTTTTTGGGCCCTGACTCTTGTCCTTCTCCAGGCCTGAGCCGCGCCACCTCCCTGAAAAGCAGAATGGCCTTAGTGCAGTGCGGACCATGGAGGCGTTCCACTTTGTCAGCTATGTGCCTATCACAGGCCGGCTCTTTGAGCTGGACGGGCTGAAGGTCTACCCCATTGACCATGGTAGGCATCGTGAGCTGGAGGCCTGTTGGGTGTCTCTGCCTACCTCCTAGGGAGCTGGGGGTCAGGGCCTTCTGGTGTGTGGGACGCAGTGGCAGGGGTCGTGGGTACTGACACCCGGCCCTGGCCAGTGTTTCACCCTCCACCCTATTTCCCGACCGGCTCCTGACTCCCTGGCTCAACTGCTCTTCTCTGTCTTCCTTCCCACTCCTGGCCTGCCCAAACTCAGGGTTTCCTCTTCGCTGATTCCTTGTCTTGGTCTCCACTAGGGCCCTGGGGAGAGGATGAGGAATGGACAGACAAGGCCCGGCGGGTTATCATGGAGCGTATCGGCCTTGCCACTGCAGGGTAAGGGCCCTTTGCCTGCCGTCTTCTACCCTCTGGAGCTGTATCTACTTTGGGAGGGACAGAGAGTGTCCAGATGATGTGTAAATTGCAGGGCCACATGGTGAATCTGGCAAGATCAGGCTTAGATCGTGGGTTCTCAACTCCTTGTCCCATTTCCTGCCTAGGCTGCCTGTGGCCTGTTCTTGGGTGGGCTGGGGGAGGGGCAGGCCCCAGTGGAGCCTTAGGTATCCCAGGTCTTCTGGTTCACTTCCTGATAGGCCCTCATACAGCTCATTGGAAGGTACCAGCTGAGGTGCCTGGCGTGCATGGCTAGTCGCTGCCCGCCTGTTGGGGTGGGGCCTGTACCTACAGCTGCAGGTGTGACTGCAGGGAACCCTGCCAGGATATCTGCTTCAACCTGATGGCAGGGCCAGGGCGGGAGCTGCTCTCACGGCTGCGGCTGTGACTGCAGGGAGCCCTACCACGACATCCGCTTCAACCTGATGGCAGTGGTGCCCGACCGCAGGATCAAGTATGAGGCCAGGCTGCACGTGCTGAAAGTGAACCGTCAGACAGTACTAGAGGCTCTGCAGCAGGTAGGTGCCCCTTCTGCCTGGCCCCTGCCCAGCCCAGTCCTCCCTGCATTCCTCCTTTCTTCCCCGACAGCATTTGTCTCTGATTCCCAAACACTCTCTCTTGTAGATCTGGGCTTCAGCTAACCATTCCTTTTCTTTGCTCTCCTTGTGGGAAAGGTGGGACTTGGAGTGGGGAGGAAGAATAGCTTCTAAAAGGAAGTTTGGGTTTGGCTGTTTTATTTCCCTGTGAGTGAATGGGTAGAGCCAAGGCCATTATTTCTTCAGGCCCTCAGCCCTTAGCTGTTTAAGGTAGAGGCCTGGGTCTACCCTTCCTCCTCTGAGCCTTGGATTCTGTTGTTAGCTGATAAGAGTAACACAGCCAGAGCTGATTCAGACCCACAAGTCTCAAGAGTCACAGCTGCCTGAGGAGTCCAAGCCAGCCAGCAACAAGTCCCCGCTGGTGCTGGAGGCAAACAGGGCCCCTGTAGCCTCTGAGGGCACCCACACAGGTACTGGGGGGTTTGGGACTGTTCATGGGCCTCAGAGCCACCCCCTAATAGTTTGACCTGGGAGGCGCAAGCAGGGCAAGTGCTTTTCTGGGGAGGTTCTTGGGCAGTGTTCTTACCCCCTCAGAAGGTAGAGGGAGAGCAGTCCTTCCCTAAAGAAAGGTACCTGTAAAGGGCTGCTGTTACCACAGGTCCCTGGGCCAGTCTCTATAATGTATACTCCCTTTCTTGTTTTCTCTAGAGGCTTTTTTTTTTTCTGCCTCTTTTTTCCCATCTCATTCTTTTCCCTGTCTCTTTGTGGGATCACGACTTAGAGCTTGCTGACTCCCATTCCAGCAGCTGGTTCAGCTGTTCCTCTCTGGAAAAGTACTGTTTCACAGGGCTGGGGAGACTGAGCTTTTCTTGGAGACCCTACTGGAGGTCCTGCTTGTGTTCTTACCCTGTCTCAGATGGTGTGGAGGAGGCGGCTGGTTCATGCACACAAGC